AGGATGAAGGTTAAGGGGGCTACACCCCTAAGCCAAGATTCTGCTCAAAATTAATGGAATTTGAGTTGTTGGCATTTTTAGCTTCCTCAGCCTCTCCTACAACTATTTCATGGCATAAGAACCCCCCAAAACCGTATTTTTCCCATGCCGGGCATGTTTATCACCACCATTTCCTCATAAAGTCAAAATTATATATTTCTTTACCGGCCGATTTCTCAAAACGCGACTTTTCTCTATACTTTTTTGAATAACGCCACCATTTTTCATCCAATCTTCATGAAATTTTCACAGAATGAAGAGAAGATGTATTACTAAAAGTGTGTATGTTGAATTTTTGATATTTGGAATAGTTTTTTGTTGGTGTTGTCTTGAGTGTAAATTTTCACGGATTTTTTGCAAACTTGAATGATACCTCAGAAAAAAATTTATTAAAAAAAAAAAAAATTGTTTTGTAAAAAAAACAACAGTCAAGTTTTTAGATCTAATTTTTATTAACACGCATGCAAAAAAACCAAAACAATCAATTTCCCTGAACAGTAAGTGCGGTATTCATTACGTAAGACATGTCAACAAAATCCAATATGGCCGCTGTATCCATGGAAACGAAACTTTTTTCTCAAATTTGATCGCGGTTTTTAAGACTCCTTACTATGCTTATTATATGACTGAAAGTTGGTAAAATTCGGTAAAGAAATAAGCGAGATAGCCTTCAGATGTACCCCCCCCCCCCCTTAAGTCAATTCTCCTCGCTTTAGATTCTTTCTCGATTAGTGAACTTTTAGCCAAGTCATTCAAAAGCTACCCCCACGGCGTGCGTAAAGTGCATGCGTGTTTTGTCTTTTCAGCCTATGTAATAACTGTGTAGATGAAAATGTTTTGTTTGGAAAACAGAAAGGGAAATGAAATCTGGGTGTTGGTTTATGAGCTTGTGTTTTGTAAAAAAACAAAATCAAACGAACATCAAGGTCGACGAATCGTGAATCGTTGAAGGGAAGTTGTAAGAAAATTTTCCGTAAATCAGAGATTTTATTTGGCGGTGTCCGACAATAACTCAGCAATGTAAAATCTCTTGTACAGGAATACAGGCGAACAACAGTATTTCACAGGCAGGCTCACTCACTGACTCGACCCTCCAAAACGTCTGGACAGACCGACGCCTAAAATGTCACTTCAGCGCGCTCTCACGGCTTGTCCTCACCTCAACAAGTTCTAGCCTCTGTAGAATCAGTTTAAAAAAAAGAAAGCTATGTCAACAATTTTGTGTATGACATGTTTTGAACAAAGGCCACTGTATTTTGCCAAATTCTAATCCCTACACTGGATCCATTTAAACCTGAGCATGAAAAATATCGCGGAGTGAGATTGGGGTTCGTGTGGGGGTGGGGTGGGGCGGGTGGGGGGGTATGTAAGATATACCTCATCGAGCAATGATGACAAAAGTAAACCATATGAAACCTATTACAATCATGATTCCTATAATACAGTAAAGGGGATACGTTCCAAAAAGCGTCTCTAGACAGGAGCCTTTAGTACCGTGTCGGATAACAAATTCTGAGATCCCAAAAGTTCCTTAATGTTTTGATTTTTTTTATTGACGTGATCTGCTCAGGTTAGAAAATTGACCCCCATGATCCATCTGTTATAGAGTAAGAAATTACTTTTTTGCAACCTTCTATGAACGAAAGAGTTGCGCCCTCTACTTCATGCCGGAAGGGAAAATCTAGCAAAAAAAAGACAGTCTCTTGCGTTTTAGTGACTGCACCCCATCGACTGCAGACGCAAAGGCCCCTGTAAATCATGATCAGCTGGACTACGCTTTTATTGTACGAAATTTCCCGCTCCGAAAGGTGGACATCACTGTCAAACAACTCCGCATCTGCGGTGGGCTGTGGTCCAAAGAAGTTATAAAAATACTAGAGCTCGCGGCAGTGACGTCACTCGTGTTAGACGTGAGAGTCATCCTGCCCTCTACGGCATGGCCGGGTTATTTCTGGGTTTTTTTACCCGAAAAGTCTATCCGTTACACAACTCAATACCGATTTTATTTTTGTTTGATTGTTTGGTAAGATGTGAGTGAAAGTGATTTGGTTAGATATGAAAGGGTAAGTGGAATGGGGAGGAAACAATTTCTTAAAATGATGTACATGTAGTTTTTAAGTTTCAACACTTTCAAGAACAACGCTATCCTCGTTATTAAAAATCTAAACCTAGTATAACTATTTTCAGTTCCTGTAAAATGTTTGCACAGTTGGTAGACAACTAGATTATAACAATATCCTTTAGGTTTCACCATCTCAGAAGCCGTGATTGGTCGGATGAAGTTTCTAGTCTGATGGTGTCAGTCTGCTATGATTTACTAGAAGACTCCATTGACACGTTGCAAAATTTTAGAGACACACACGCAGGTGAATGCCTTTAAAGAGAAGGCATGCCAATCCTGGTTTCAATTTCTTCATTATTGTCTGACCAAAAAGAGAAGACACTTTGGTCTGTAAAAATA